AAAGTACAGACTACCTCTACTGTACAGAAGGTGATAAGTGGGTGGGGACCACAGGGTCCCCAACTGTAGTGCCACTACACTGAGAGCCAGTCGGTTAGCCAGCAAGTGAGAATCAGACACTCTTCCAGGCCCCCCTGGGTCTCATCAATGGAAAAAAGAAAATTATTAAAAGTACAAAGTCCTTTGGGGTGAGAAACTAAAAATCATCTTTTCAAACCGGGCTGACACTGCCTCAGAAAGTTTCTTCCATTCTCATGACTTATTTCTGGGGTTGACACTTCCTGAGGCTTATACATAGGAGGTGCAATATATAGGAAAGGCGTCGAGGTGACGCTGGCTCCTGTCACGTGGCATTCACAAACGTACGTCATGGATGTGATTAAAATCTCAAAATAGAACATTTGCTTTGAGGGTTTAACTATTGGAGAAAATTTTTAAATACGTTTGAGTTTTTAGTGAGTCATAAAAATGGACGTAACTAAAGCCTTGTTGTCAAAGGAAAAAGTAAAACTTAGTTTGGTTGTTTTGTTTGAGAAAAGTACGCATGGATTTTTTTTTTTTTTTTTTTTTTTACAAACACGCCATTCTATGTACAGCACGAGGCATTTGAAACATTGCTGTATAAAGCATGAGAATACAGTCTGTTGGGGAACTGAGATTCGTAAATAGGCTCAAGGAAGAAAGAGACACATATGAAGGTTACTGACAACTAAAAACACTGTGTGCTTTTAAAATCGTTGGTGTAGGTCAAGTACGCTAGTCTCTTAGCGCTGCATAGTATATACGAAAAGGGTAATGTAATTTTATCTTAATATTTGTGAATATTGATATCACAAACCACAAGAGATTATCTTCCTTATGAGAACCTTTCTAATGTACTCTTAAGGGAATTGCGCAATCATTCCGAAGAACACAGGATCCACGCAGCACGCCACCTCCTCCTAGTCCCCACGGGTTCCCAGTACTGTCCACAAGGTGGCGGTAGCGTCCACACAGCGTGACAGATCTCTCAAGCCAGATGTTTCCAAACCATTTCCCTTGCAACCAATATGTTAAATAAACATTTTAGGTCGCCCTTGAATTATAATGACATATCTAGAGTGAATGACGACCGAATCTCAAAGTATTTTATTAAATTTTCCTGTCATGTGACAAACTAATTCTATAAATGCTTTTCTCACCTACCTGGGACAAATCTGGACGTTAAATTCATTATATATATATGCCTTTCTCTTCCCCAATGCTTACACACTCGACCCACTCCCCCAACTCCAGTTGCTAGGCAACTAAAAGAGCTTTGTTTTTCTTAAACACCAGCGTTAAACGACCCTTATTTTCTCTAGCCAGAACGAGGCTGCAGCCAGATTCCACCTCCTCTTTGTAAAATCCCAGAGCAGGACATGTATGACTTAGGCTAATAGCATGGTAAATCACATCACAATGGATAAATGTAGGAAAAGAAAACCTAGAGCGCATGCGTCACACTGCACGGGGCGTATACAAGCAGCGCGCTAAGGGCACATTTTGCCCAAACAAGATCACAGTTTTATTGAGCATGTATTACATGCAAGGTACTCCACTAAATGTATATTTTTCTAATAGTAAAAATATTAATACCACTCCACTCTAATTCTGAAGGCTTTTATACCCCAGCAGAGAACATCACTATATGAAAGGTATTGCATTTTGAGAAATGAAATGGAAATGCAACCCAAATAGCCATTGGCACACACAGCCATCTTAGACATAATTGGAAACATATTCATATATTTCTTTAAAGCAGTCTCCACACTATGCAGCTCATGCTGGTATTGAATTCCTAATCCTTCTGCCTCTACTTCCCAAATGTTAAGTTAGATGCCCATATAGCAAAGCTCAGAGGTAACTTTATTATTTTCTTAAATTTCTTTTGTTTTTATTTTATGCCTATGGGAGTTTTGCTTGCATGTATACCTGTGAACTGTGTGTGTGTGTGTGTGTGTGTGTGATGTCCAAGGGACCAAAAGAAGGCATAGATCCCCTAAGAATGGAGTTACAGATGGTTGTGCGGGGCCACTTAGATGTTAAAAATTAAACTCTGGTCCTCTGAAAGATCACTTGGGGCTCTTAATTACTGAGCCATCTCTCCTGTCTGCATATTTATTTGTTTTATATTTTAGTTTTTGGTTGTTCAAGACAGGGTTCTCTGTGTCCTGGAACTAGCTCTGTAGACCAGGCTGGCCTTGAACTCAAGAGATCTGCCAGCCTTTGCCTCCCAAGTGCCGGGATTGAAGGCACCACCAGCGTGCCTGGCCTTTCGTTGCTGTTATTGTTGTTGTTTGTTTTAATGCTCCCCATTGGAGGAATGATACCCACAAAAGTTAAAATATTTGTCCTTCAGGAAATCAGGAAGTGGCAGAAGTATATAGCCAGAGTAACATCAACACAGCATGTGGCTTCTTGTTCATACTGGATGTGGACAGAATGTTTCAGAAACTACTGTTGTTCTAAGTCATTGTCCAGCATGTGAAAATGGGATAGGAACGAGATACTAAAACTGGCAGGTTCCCCGAGAGCATGAAGCGAATATTTGCCTCTCCTTCAGGATTGGTTTAGTACAACCAGGGAAGGTAGGCCCTTATTTAGACCTTTTGGTTTTGTTGTCGTTTGTTGTTGTTGTTGTTTAAGGATTTCTTTATTTTATGTATCTGAGTACACTGTAGCTATGTTCAGACACACCAGAAGAGGGCATCAGATCCCATTACAAATGGTTGTGAGCCACCATGTGGTTGCTGGGAACTGAACTCAGGACCTCTGGAAGAGCAGTGAGTGCTCTTAACCACTGAACCATCTCTCCAGCCGTGGACTTTGTTTTTTTACCTCTGTTTGAGTGAAGATGAATGGTCTCATCCTCAGGGTCATAACTTGAAAATCAGCATTGTGTATTCATTAGAGTATTATCATCTTACAAGTCTGTACCCCCACATTCTTTTCCCCTCGTTGACAGTGCACCTCTCTTTCAGAATGACAGGTTAATGACAGCTCTACCGTTTTCAACATGATCCCAAGGCATCGTCTCTCCCAGGTAAACTAGAAGCAGGAAAGGATTGAGGGAGAATTCAAGGAAGGCTGTTTAAAGCCAGGCCTAGAAGGGGACATTTTCACCCACCCCTTATCAGCCAAAAGCTCAAGCAAACAAATATGGCCACCTGTAACAGATACAAGTGCTTGGCACTCAGTTGGGTGAAGGTTAAACACTGCACACACTGTTCAGGATAAACTGGGTATCTGTTATAAGCAATTCCATATAGTAATTCTTAAACCCCACACCAACCCTACAAAGGTAGTGCCATTATCCCTACATGTAGACAGGAGAACTAAGACAAGCGATAAGCCCAGCTTCCAGTGGATTTGAACATAGTCTATAGAAATGCTAATATACACACACTGTAGGATTTGATCTTGAATGTGGGGGGAGAGGAAAACATAGCCAAGGAATCTGTAGCACTAGACATCCTTGGTAATATAGCACAGGAATAGTTAGAGGCTAAGGGAAAGGCAGCCCATGCTGTGTAGTTCACAGAGGTCTGTGGACAGCTGTCTTAACCTTATATCTCTTAAATCTTCATTTGTAAAGCTGAGATGACAATTCCATCTATGTACTTGGAAAAGATGGGGTGCATACAATTCCTATAGGGCTGAAACTGTCTGAGCCCAGAAATCTGTACTTCAAGTCATTCTGATGGGATCTGTTCTTGGGCAGCTTTGGGGAACCGAACTATGTTCCATATTTGTGCAAAACTGGGGCATGCTCCTGGCACAGGACTGATGGGCCCAGGTGTCACCTCTTGCCTGTCTCAGTGTTGCTGACACCGACTGGGGTCAAAGGAAGGGATGTCAAGTCTCACTTGCTACCTTAGATAATGGGACAAAGCCCGAAGAGACAGTGGAGCTGACCGGTGTTCAAGGGGCTGCTTGAGGATCTGCAGCAGGTGGAAGAAATCGGCGAGTGACATTTCCTGCCATTCTCTGAAAACCCCCAGAATAACCAAATTAAGTTTTCATAGAGTTTGACAGAAGAGGCCTCATTCTTCTTTTAAGGCGCCCTCTGCCTAGTCTCTCCGCCCATTTCCTTACTTGTGGATGCCAATTTCCTTTACTGGGAATAATCTTTCAACTTTATAGCTCAATGCAAAGCCACAAATCCAAAGGACCAGATGAGGTAATGTTTAGTTTGAATGTGTTTCAGCAAAGTGTGGTTAATGAATTTTTCCTTGCTTTGATAAGGAGCAGGGGAACCAGACGTCTCACTGCAACTAAAACAAGTCTGTAAGGGTGACAAGAACTACTAATGATGAAATACTTCAGCAAGACTATAAGAAGGAAATACTATCAGCGTCCAGGGGAAACACCACCCCATGTCTACCGTGGTTGACTGCTCTTTGGAGCTCTATAGAAGACAACTATGTCACGGAAACAAACATAGTAGCTCTTTTCTTACTTAACGAACTTTCCTTGAGTTAATTTTCTTTCGGTTGTTTTACATTCGGTTTGTAATAGAGGTAATGATTGTATCTTGGTACAATGTCTCCGCTATAAAGATCAAGTCTAAAAATACAGCCCCAGGCTATCTTATAATTAAACATTGTGAATGTATTTCCAGGCTGATGTGACGACCTCTGCAGTACCACAGAACTATGTGAAAGTAGAAAACCTCCTTCCTCAGAGAGGGTTAAGAAATGAAGCACAGATTATGGCCTGGAGGCGCTCTGGTGATAAGATTAGAATTTAGAGGAAAACAAGGACCTGGAGACTCAACATGAAGTTGGGAATTAGACTCACAGGTTAGGATCCCTGTGGCCTTTTGTACAGGATGTAGCATTTTTGAGCCTCAGCTCCTTCTGAGGTACATGACGGGCCACAGGTCCTGACACATAAACTGGAGGGATCTGAGGTATGACAACACTCTCTGCTGCTTCTTAGATGTGTGTTTTCAAATCTAGGCATTGGGATATCAATTTACTGCCCCTAGAGGCACAGCAAGTGTGGCAACTGTGTCACAAGGACATCAATAGGTAGCAGGGAGGAAAGAGGCTACAGTCTATGCTCAGTGTTCTGACCTGAGAACATCTGAATGCTCATAGCCTAACATTCCGTGATAATAAGTGAGCCTGAAATACCATCAGTCCACTGCCAGGGGGCGCAGACAGGGAGCAAGTTGGAGACTTGAAGAACCCCCACCTAGGGCCACGGGCTCAGGTGGAAGTGAAGCCGAGACTGTTGACCCTCGCCTGGGGCCCCTTGGGTGGGTACCACAAGGAGAGCGCCTGAGATGACAACCAGACTGAAGCCTTGGGGCCTGGACAGGGAGCTAGTCTGAGATGACCCTCAGTCTGGCATTGTATAGGCCAGGGGATACAGATCACCCCAAAGACGATCCCTACCCAACTTTGTAATGCATGAGTAGGCCATTATACCCTGGGCACCACTAAGAGGAACAAACAAGTGGTGGAGAAATGAAAGAGAAACAGAAGGATGTGGGCACAAGGAAGAGAGGCAGACCTGGAGACTCGAGGGTAGTGAGGAATAGCCTGATGTGAGGAGCTACCTGAGACCATGGTGGGGTCATGACCTGTGCTGTCACCAGGGATCACATCTGGGTTCATGGCCATGCAGCAGCAGAGGTCTGCTACTACCAAAGGCTAGGTGCAAGTCCCTGGTCTGGGCTGCCACCCCAGGACACACTGATATCTGAAGAATGTGCAGAACTGGCCCAACCCCTCACCTGGGTATCATGGGAGAGGGGACCCTGGGGGCGTGACAATAGGAGAGCTGACTCCGCCCCTAGCCAGTTACAGTCTTCAGGAGAATTGGCCCTGCACACTGCGGGAGTTGCAGGTGACCCAGCCTGAAGCTATGATCATGGAAGAGCTAGCCCTACTACTTACTCCATGGTAGGTCCTACTATATCCCTACCAGTCTGCGAAGTGGCATAGACTATGGAGAGATACCTTCCTCCCTTCTTAGCCTTACCACCCACAGCAGGTAGGGGACCTGACCCTGGAGTCATAGAAGCAGAAGAGCTGACCCTGCCCCTCACTGCTGCAGCATTCAGGAGAGCATCCCCTGCAACCTCACCTGGGCAGCACAGTAGAGCTGACCCTGGATGTGGGTGTTGCCAGTGAGCCACCCCAAGAACATCAGCTTAGGAGAGTTAGCCCTGCCTCTTGTCTGCTGTGTGGTGGTATCAATGAGGGAGGGAGAGATCCCCTTCCTCCCATTTTGCCCTCACCACCAGCAGTGGGCAGGAGAGTTGGCCCATTCACACACAGAGACACATACTCACACTCAAGGGTTCGGGGGATTCCACTGCCTTTATTTTAAAAGCAGGCTGCAGGTTGTATTCACCTTGGACATACACGTTGCCACAGATTTGAGAAATTGCTAGCTAATTTTTCCCCCCAAGGGCACTACCTAAATTTCTTGGAACTTTGATAAAGATTCCGGTACAATTCAGTAGAAAATTTAAGTCACTAACATTTCTCTGGATTGTAAAGTAGTGATGTGAACAACGCCCACTTTCCCTTCTACTTCAGATATTGGAAACCATTAAATAGGGAGGACAAAGTTTAGATGTACTGGGTATACTGGAGTTTACCATTAGAGGAGTGTCACAGTGAACACATTGTGGTCTGTGGTCATTTAAGATAAAATAAACGGTAAAAAAAAAAAGTTACTGCAGGAAATACTGTAACAGTATTTAGATGTAACAGATGTACACTGTTACATTTAAACAGTGCCAATTTAGTCAAGTAAAAAATAGTACACTGGGGTGCAATTTAATGTTACAGAAGGTTTTCATGAACTTGAAAGTCAAACTATAACCATATTGGCTAGACCCAAGAGGAACCAACTGGATTTTATTTGATACTTAAAAATTCGGAATAAGAGCAAGTTTGCCTGAGTCAGCACTCTTAATAATTGCATTACGAGGTCCATTACAAAAGACACTAAGAGGAAACACACTAGAATGCCTGGACAGTGTAAGCCATGAGGTGACACTTACCGGGTGGGGACTCATACAGCTGGCCCAGATGGGAGGTGCGTTAGAAGACAAACTAGAAGAAGATAAAGCACGAGTGAACGAACTCTCCTTGCCTGCTGTAGTCTGTGGTACAGATGCTAAAGGCCAAGAAACAAGCAAAAAGAAGAATTTAGAAATAAGTAGTCTCCTCGAGGCAGCAGCAGCAAGCCAATCAGGGGAAATATACCCCTTTGGGGTTATTCTTGGTTGTGACTACTCCTCCTGTCTCCAAGATAAGTGTGGCAGACCATGCCTTCACTTATTTCCGCACTATGAAGTATCCCAGAGTCACAGAAATGATGCCATTACTAGAGCTGATTGAGAACATTCAAACGGGGCTGTTTGTTTGGTAGTGTCAAAGGTTACTTTCCATGAAAGAGGGCCTGAGAGCTACACCCTCTCTATGCAATACCCAGGAATATGGAAAGGTTCTCTGAGCATCCTCCCGTGGATCAGTGGCTAGCACGAACCTTGAACTTAGGGTCTACTGCTTGATTTCCGGAAGCTGGAAGTATGTGTTAAAACGTGGAAAGCGGAACAAAAAATGCTGTTTTTGTAAGATTGATGGGTCGGTAAAGTAAACTTCACACTGGAACACAGAAGAGTCTGTCCTAGGTTGAGGTGGAACCAGGGAAACTAATCGAATCCAGATGCGGTGTGAGAGGATGGCTAATCAAACCCAGATGCAATGGGAGAGGATGTAGTATCCTGGGCACGCTGCTGTTGTAGCTGAAGGGCCGCTCATAAAGAGGAAGAGGAAGAGCTATGATACAGGGACAAGAAGGGGGCTGGGAAGTCGGCAGGGGTGCTCTGAGCAACTGGTGGAACACCCCTGCCTCAGCGGCTGCTATACTATTATTGTTCTGTTGTTACAGGTCTATTCATTGTCCTGAACACTCAGTCATGAGTCAGTCAATCCTGACAAAACCTTAGTGTGATTGCCATCCCCACATTCTAAACGGTTTGCGAAGACTCACAGAGGTTAAATGAATGATTTACTGGTGTTGGAATGGAAGACCGTGGTTCTAACCTTGCTCGATCACTCTTTACACACGCGTTATTCCTGAAGGTGGGGATATTTTGCCATCGCAGACAAAAATCACACCATAGACTCCAAAGTATAAGGCTTCTGATGTAATGAAGGATATTCTGTATTTAGTGTGGTGCAGTGCCCAGCTCAGTATTAGCCATCGTTACCAACCTGACACACCTTCCCAAACCGTCTAGCGTTATCCCCATCTGCAGAGAACGGGAATCCCGAGTCCTTGCTTTTAACTGTAGAACATTTCTGCCTCAAAGTTAAAGATAGGGGTGGGGGTGGTGGCGGAATAAATTGGCTTAATCCCTGGCTTATAAAGACCAAGGTTATTTTAACCTAGTTAAACAGTTTCAAAATTATTCACATCTAAAACGAAACTGTCAAATCTTTCTCCACCTCCCTTCTGCGTCAGGTCTGGGGGCAGGCAGGCAGCCACCGAGAAATTGTTCAGGACCCAGAGCCTGCTGGCAGGCGGTCCCGGCACATACTTGCTGACACAGCTCAAACATCTAACTTCAGTAACTTTTTTTTTTTAATTTCCAAAGGAGACCTTTAAAAATACTTCCTTTTAGTGAGTAACCACAGGAGAGGTTATACTTTGAGAAAACAAGCTGAAATAGAGAAGATAGTGTCTTTTTAAAAATATTATTTTACTTTTTACAAGTCAGAAACCATATGGAATTTCCACCCTCACATAACACATTGATGACTTTGCCTGGCTTTCTAGAAACCCGACCCTCCAGACTCCAAGCTCAGTAGAGCTGCTTTCTGGAACTGATCCTGCCAAAACTTCACCCAGGAAGGAAGAGAGCTTGTGAAGAGAGGTCACAGACATCATATTTTGACCCATTGTGTCTTGTTCTGATCTTGTTTCTCAAAATCATAATTTATCTAAAGTTGGTCTTGTAAGGCATTCCTCGTTGTCCTTAGCTTTTGAGGGTTACCAAGGACAGGAGAACAGCGCACTGCTCGGCTAGCCCGTGTGTCTCACATGTCCCTACAAAGCAGGCAACCAGATAAGAACAATGAGGCTCAGTGGCCACAGTCGTCCTTTGGTGCCCTGTGGCTTCATCTACCCTAGCTATCTGTTGAACGTGGCTGGGGGTAAGAAGAGTAAGTTGTTTTTCACTGAAGGGGTTTTACTCACTCTGTCAGAAGCTGAGCCATATCGTTACAGATAAAACCATACATGCTAGGGGGAGCCAGCATGCATCTCCAGTATGATACACCATTCTTCCATGTATTCGCATTCATATCTGTGGATGTAACCAACCTCAGAAAAGAAACATTTAGAGGCAGTTGAGGCAGTGAAATCCCAACACTCAGGATGCTGAGACAGGACCATCAGTACGGGTTTAAGGTCAGCCTGGGCTTACAGTGAGTTCTGGGGCAGTCAGGGGCTACAGAGTGACTGGTTTGAGGAAGGAAGAGAGGGAAGGGGAGAAGATGGGATAGGGGAAGGGAGGGAAAGAAATGGATTGATTGCTGAAGAAAATCGTGTTTTGCCGGGCAGTGGTGGCGCACGCCTTTAATCCCAGCACTTGGGAGGCAGAGGCAGGTGGATTTCTGAGTTCGAGGCCAGCCTGGTCTACAAAGTGAGTTCCAGGACAGCCAGGACTACACAGAGAAACCCTGTCTCAAAAAACCAAAAAAAAAAAAAAAAAAAAAAAAACAAAAAGAAAGAAAGAAAGAAAGAAAGAAAATCATGCCTGCACTGACCGTGTACCCATGGATTGCTTGTTACTCTAGGATACTGAATAATGCTTATTCGAATAACATCTGCATTGCATTGGGTGGTGTAGGTAAGCACACGGCAACCTGAGGGATATGGAAGGATATGCATTCATCTCATCTTACAAAAGGGTCTTGAGCATCTATAGATTCCGGTGTCTACAGGGGCTTGGAAACAATGCCTCTGGTACCCAGGAAGAACTGTATAGTCCTGGGATGTTTGGGTGCATTCTACGAATTGTTCCTATAGCTCAATCTTCAACCTGGCTCTAAATGCAAGGTTTCCCCTTTGTATCAGC